ATTGTAGATGGAAACCATTTACTTATATATTAAAAAATACATATGTAATATTTAAATAAAATAATATTTCTAATGATCCAGAGAGAATCTATCCTTTTGTTTTGTATTTTTCAAAGTTACAAGGATTGGAATTTGTAGTTTAGAAAATGAATCAGAAAATGCATTAAAAAAGAGATACTTTCATTTTGGTCAATGAGTAACAAATGGAAAAATAAAATATATAAAAAAAACCCCATCCATATGAATGTTATTAAAGTGAATAAAATGTAACCCAAGATTATGTACATTACATCCATAAAATTTGTGAAACTCCTATTAATCTATAAAAAGATTATAACTTCTATTATAAGTTATAAAAAGATAAAGCATAGATTCAGTTATTATCATGTAGAGTGGTACCCTGGTATTCTATGAAACTCATCAAATTTGGTACTCAACACATTTTGAATTTTTTGTCCCGATGCTCATCATTTGTTTGGTATCAACTCACAAGCTAAAACTTGTTGGTGTCAGCTGCCTCGTGACTCACAATATTATTCCTTAGGGGAGCGGAAATTATTTGATACTCATTGTTTTTAGTACTTATTGCGCCTCCCAGAACCAGTTAAGGATGGGTACTGAGGTACCATTGTATTAAAGCTTACATTATACTAAGATACAAAAAAATAGCATATCTAATAGGTATGAAATATCAGGGCATAGTTTTTATGCTCTTGCAGAAAATTTAGCAGTTATCCTCTTAATATGTATAGGCAGTATACCAGTATTCAGAGATTTTCAGGGCAATAGCATTATTTTGTCAACTAGTATACACCAAATGAATTGGGTTCTTTTTATTGGTAGAAATGATTTTTCCCCAGATTATTGGTTTTTACTTAGGATGTTATCACATTACCTATAGTTGTATGCATTTTTATCTAGCAACTTTTGTTGAGAAAAGGGAATTCATGAAGCTCTTATACAAAATACAGAATAACAGAGTTGGAAGGGACCTTGGAGGTCTTCTAGTCCAACCCGCTGCCTAGGCAGGAAACCCTACAGTACTTTAAACAAATGGTTATCCAATATCTTCTTTAAAAAGTGTTGCAGCATTCACAACTGCTGGAGGCAAATTGTTCCATTGATTACTTGTTCTAACTGTCAGGAAATTTCTCCTTAGTTCTAGATTGCTTCTCTCCTTGATTAGTTCCCACCCATTGCTTCTTGTTTTGCCCTCAGGTGCTTTGGAGAATAGCTTGACTTCCTCTTCTTTGTGGCAGCCCCTGAGATATTGGAACACTGCTACCATGTCACCCCTAGTCCTTTTTTTCATTAAACTAGACATACCCAGTTCCTACAACCTTATTCTTCATATGCTTTAGCGTCCAGTCCTCAAATCATCTTTCTGGCTCTTCTTTGCACTCTTTCTAGAGTCTCCACATCATTTTTACATTGTGGCAACCAAAATTGGATGCAGTATTTCAAGTGTGGCCTTACGGAGGCATTATAAAATAGTATTAACACTACACGTGATCTTGATTTTGTCCTTCTGTTTATGCAGCCTAGAACTGTGTTGGCCTTTTTGGCAGCTGCTGCACACTGCTGACTCATATTAGGAATATGTTATTGGGAGAAAGAGAGAGGGGAAACCTGAATATGTTGAGATAAAGTAAATCCTTTCAGATCAGCTAAAATGTAAATCCTTTCAGATCAGCTAAAATGCCTCATTAAACTAATTATATATTAGCTAAATTATTGTGATAACACTAGCAGTAGGATAGCAAATAGACTTACATACTACTCCATAGTACTTTTCAGCACTCTCTGGGTGGTTTATCCAGGGCTCTTTATCTTATTATGAGAACAATATACTGCATTAGCAGGCTTGTTTCTAGTTGTCAAACTAGCCATTAATTTTTGATATAAACTGGTATTGATATTTACTCCTTGTCATGAAAATATTTGCTTTTTTATACTTGAAGATCACAGTTGAATTATTGAATCATAACTGATTTTGGCCTCATATTAAAAAAATTCTCTCCTTTTTGCTTATTTTACAGAGTGATGGAACACTCCTGGCTACTGGATCATATGATGGATTTGCAAGAATATGGACGGAAGATGGTAAGACTGAAGAAATAATTTTTCCAGATAATTAGATTTTTGGGGGGATCCTAAATTTGTTTCACTATTCAAATTATTTAAAACATTGTTTTTATTTACAGGAAATCTTGCAAGCACCTTAGGGCAACATAAAGGGCCCATCTTTGCTCTGAAGTGGAATAAAAAGGGAAATTACATTTTAAGTGCTGGCGTTGATAAGGTAAGTGTTGAATTCTATAGTTTGCAAGTATCAATTATCTAATTATCTTTTTAAGATAATTCTTGAAACAGCTGCTATTTTTGTATTTACCAGATGGTGGTGCCATCATAATCTTCATTTCTCTATATGCACAATATTGTTATGATCAACTCTTGTCCAGTTTATTGATGGCCACATTTGTTATCTGTTGAAGACCCCATATTATCTATTTTTTGTGGATTGTTTTGACTTTACAACTAATAATGCTGTTTGACATATGTTTTTTTTCCTTCTAATTGCTCTTCCTTCTCTACCTAGACAACAATAATTTGGGATGCTCATACAGGTGAAGCTAAACAACAGTTTCCTTTCCACTCAGGTAATTAAAGTTCAACTGTAATTTATGCTTTCTATATTTAACAAATGACAAAAAAGTTTACTCTGTCATAATTAATTATGTATCACAAGTGACTATTAAACAGATTTAGGCTATTGCATCCTAGTTTGCTTGATTATATTTGTCTGATAAAAAGAACAGAAGTGAAATAATTTTTGCTAGACAAATTTGAGAGTAAAATTTTGGGTGTTGCCATATCATAAAGCATTGATAGACGAAATCACTGAGAAACATTCATTATTCTCAGTTATCTTTTACATAAGAGATAGTATCTTTGTAGTGATTTAGCCCAATCACATACTTATTATACCAATGACATAAATTTATATAAATGGTATCCAACAATATTATAATGTAAATTGCATAAATTATTCCATTTTCATCTTACATTATTCAAGCAATATAAATTGCATTGGATATTTGGTATCACAGAAATTTAAAATGCAAAGTTATGTCAAGAATTCATCTTGTATTATTTCAGTAAAGAGTCTGGGCCATGTTTTAGTTCAGACTGATAGTGTTCTAAAAGTCTATCCTCTGGTTTCTCAAAAACTTTGTTCTAGCATGTATGTAAAAACTACATTATTATCTAATTTATTTTGATAGCTTTTACAGGTTTCAGAAAGTGTGCTGTGTTTTTTTATTTGTTTGGTGGTTTTTTTCTATAGGTAGTCCTTTAACTATGACTGTGATGGTCATAAATTGGGTCACCCACATAACTGTCCCGATTTTACCTATTTTTGCAATGTTAATGAATATCACAGTCACTAAGTGAACACTGCAGTTGTTAAATGAATCAATGATTCACTAGCAGTTGGTTTTGCTGAAAACCAGAAGTAAATGCTGGTTGTCCTCAAAACTGTCATAAAACACGTTAATGTATGTTATTTGTATGATAATGTCATTAGAGTGGAAATTAGACCCACTGCATGCTATGGCATCAAAGTCTGGTACATAATGGTTTTATTCTATTGTAAATAGTGCTCATATTAGCAGAATAATGTTGGTCATTCTTTCAGAATAATAGTCTAGTGTTAGGATAATACATGTAATTAAATTAAATTTGCTTCCTGGCTAAATTTCCTAATGATCCTTTTCTGTCCTCCTTCCACAGCCCCAGCCCTGGATGTAGATTGGCAGAACAATACTACCTTTGCATCGTGTAGCACTGATATGTGCATACATGTATGCAGACTTGGCTGTGATCGTCCAGTCAAAACCTTTCAAGGCCACACGGTAAAATTAAGCAATAATCTTAACACATTGCAATTAAAACAGACTTCATCAATATTTCAGGAATACTATATTCTTAAATCAATAGCTGTCTAATTCATTTAGCTGGCAGGCATATATTGAATTTTGAGAATATACATTTAGGTGTTCATGCAAAATTGCAAGCATGTTACTCTGGGATGGGAGTCTCCTCATTAGCTGGCAAAGTGGTCATGTCTAGTAACAGGAAGCCAAGAAGGAAAGTTCCATTATTATCTTACCTTCTTTTTAGGTAGTATCCATGCTTCAAAATTAGATAATACATTAGGGATTTTAGTCTTAAATTTAATCTTTGTATTCTTGGCAGTAAATTCATTGATGTTAATAAGAAAGTGGTAAAATCATTTTTATTTGTTTTTATAGCTTTGCTTTAGAAAAATAGAAATGCTATTTTAATTAGAACATTAAATAGAATTCATGGTAGTGAACCAGTGGTCTGAATTAGTATGCAACACTTTCCCCAGAGATTATTTAAAACCAATGGGTATTTTTTTAACCTATGAAGAGATCTGCAAAAAAGATAGCTAATTGTAATATTGGGAGAATGCAAGATAATTTATCAATTAAATAGGAAATCCATAAAAATATAATTTTACATTGTACTTTATAATATAATATGAATTACATGTATAATTTTGAGTTTTTAAAAAATATTTAGGCTCATTATTGTAATTATTATAAAGTTTCTCTACATTACACTACACACAACAGCAGATATAACAGCTTTTGCATTCTTACATGAGGCAACATCTAATTCCAATTTCTAATTTTCCATGCATCCCTGATGGCTATTTATGTATAAAACAGGCAAAACACCCCTGAAATGATGATGATGATGATGATGATGATGATGATGATGATGATGATGATGATGATGATGATGNGGAAAGCCTGAAGGGTGGTGAGGGTCCGAATCTCCACGGGGAGATCGTTCCAGAGGGCCGGAGCAGCCACAGAAAAGGGCCTCCCCCGGGGCGTCGACCTTGTATTTAGTATATGTGTCACATTGCCGAGAGCTTAGATTTCATATCATGTCTTCCTTTTTCTCAGGTTTCTCCCATTCCGCCTTTACATTTGGAATAGAGAGTCATATTAGCCAATCCAACATCAATGGAACACTAGTGCCACCTGCTGCCCTTATCTCTATACTTCAGAAAGGCCTACAATATGTTGAAGCAGAGATAAGCATCAATGAGGCAAGTATCACCTCTTCCTTAGCTAGAAAATGCTTAATGATTAGTGCTTGATCAACCTTGCAGTTTGCTTGAATTGATGCCAATTTTGAAGGATACAAGAACACAAACCAGGCCTGATTTATTTGTTAATGTTGGTTTTAATTAAAACGGATAGGCCTGTTTTCTTTCCTTGGTGAAAGCTCTACAGTCTCTTTGTTTATTCTGCTAAGCCTGATACCTTAGCCAATAGAACCACTTCTTTTTAAGTTTACTTTTTACTTTGTACTTTAACTTTCCCCCAATTTTTTCCATGTTTAATTTTTTTATTGTTATCCTCCCTTATCTCTTAGTTACTTGCCTGATTAATAGTCCTCATTGGTCCCTTTCATGTTCTTCCTAAAATAATCAAACAGAACAAAATCTGTTCTTTTTGTTACTCATCTGTCTCTCTCTCTGGTCTAGTATTGAATAAGTATGTTTCTTTATACCATACTGACATATGAAGTAGCAATAATATACATTGCTAAGATTTCTTAAATACAATTGTTTAAAAAACAATTCATGCTACCATTTTGGAAAAAAACTTGGTAACAAACCTGAAAAATAAGTTGTCAGAGCATGGCTGTTTGTTCAATTTTAAATAATTTTTGAAGACTGTATTTTACTTAGTACTATCTAATTGGAGTTAAAAGTTTCTATAATTTAAAAAAAGTTTTTAAAAATGCTTAGACTTTCTTCACTCTAACTCTCCCTTATAAGTGTTATTTTGAACATCTACTGAATGAAATCTTGATACTTTCAAGCAGAACTTTGCAGAATTAATATCTTCTAAAATAGGATTTTTCAAACTAGATTCTGCAGGACTTGTATGGATTCCATCAAACAAATAAGAAAAAGATCTCTCTCGATCTCTCTCCCTCCCTCCCTTCCCCCCCCCTCTCTCTCAGGTTGTTTTTCTTCCTTAATACCTTGCACAGAAGTGACTGAAGTATAGTGAGTAGGGTAGGATTTGTCAGTGGTCATTTGGAAGCTTTTATAAGAGGTTCTGAGCATTTTTTAATAAACAAGTTGCTGTTGGGGGGGGATAGGAAACCTTTGCTGAAAAATATACAACATCTCTTTTCTTTTCATTTCATTCCATTCTCCCTAAAAATGAATCAGAACTGTGCATTTTAGTACTTAATCTACATTAAATTTTATCAGATTGAATTTCACATTAATTAAAATATAATGTTTCAATTTTATTTTAATAGAATTGAACAAACATCGCCTTGCACATTGAATTCAAATCTGATCTTGGCTGATTCACATGCCATTGCATTCCATGTCAATGTACGGAAAAACTTTTGCTTCCTTATTCTGTTGCCACATTAAAAAAAAATCAGACTTAACCATAGAGTTGGTGGTATTTGGGTGACATATATATTTAATAAATTATGATTGGTCACATAGTCACCAGATGTTTAGAGTGAGTTTGGCATTTTTATTCACCTTTCAAGTCCTTCCCATGGAGCTGAAATGGGCAGCTATTATTATTTGATGGTGTTAAAGATATCATTGCTGGATGTAACTTGTTTCAAGTAAAGCTGCCATTTGCAATTGATTGATGCATATTTTATCAATGCTGTTGGTGTTCAAGTGATGCTTTAGATATTTTGGGATGGCACCCAAGGAACCGACCACAGTTGGTATTATTTTTGATTATTTTTTTTGCCACAGACATGCTACTTCTTTTCTGTTCAGTCTGTAGATTTACAGTTATAGCGATTGAATAGATTGAATATTATAAATAGATTTATGCCTCCCAGAACTCACTTCTTGTAGATAATTAAGTTTGTAATGCATAGATTCTATATTTAGCATTACATTTTGTTACCAAATATATATTTAGATTGCAAACAAATATTTGCATGTAATAATCTGATTACTCACAATGAACTTCTGATATCATTTGACTTCAGATGTTAACTGTGCTACACAGAAATCATTATTAAGAAATGTTTCTTGCTAAGGTTCTTTTATTTGAGGCCATTATTTTTACGCCACTTAGAAGATAATTCATTTTCTGTAGATGTCTGTTTGCCTTGGTTTTACTTGCACTATGTTACATAAATTACTATAAGCAAATTGTCAATAGAAAAATTATTGAAACAGCAATTTATTTATACATATTAAAATATCTCATTATTTTAGGTATGGCATATGCTGCTAGCTTTGCTAATCATAATCATATGTGATAGGATAATTAAAAATAATGTCAGGTCAAAGTTGGAAGTAGGGTAGAACTTCAAAGTATTCAAAGTTTTTCTTTGATAAATTCTGATTGTTCCTAATTTTCCAGTCCTTAAGATCCTATTGGTGTTCTTAATTTTATTAATTTATTTAACTTGTTTATATGACCATCCATCTCACCTAATGTGATCTAACTCATCTACATTAATCCAATAAAACAATATAGACTGTATATAAAAACAATCATACACATACACACACACCACAGTGTGTGTGTGAGCACAAACTCATAATTGTGGTTTAGTGTGTTTATTAATATTCTCCCACAATTCCCTTCACCAAAAACCCAGAACAGTCCCAATTAAGTCCAACCACAAGCAGACCAATGCTAGTCCACAGAGCATGGTCGTGAGTCCACAAGGCATTGAAAGTTTTCCAATCAAAATAAACCCATCTGGCAAAATTAAGTCCACAATACAAGAGGGTTCACAAGACACAATCCAAGTCAAGGCACGTTGTCAATCCAAAGCAAGGTAAGAATTACAATGACTAAAAACACACACAGCTAGGAAATGAATACGTTGTTCCCAGCCTCACTTTCATCTCTCTGCTGTGCTAATAGCCAGCTTCTGGTGCAACCCATCAAGGAGGCAAGACTTTCTCGCGAGTAATCTGCCTGACCTTTTCTGCACCTGCATTTTCTCTGTCCTATGTGTTCTTGGATCAGAGGCAGAAGGCAGTTCCTTTTCCTCATCAGTGACTGGCTTCACCTGCATGCTTTCTACACCTGAAGCCTCAGGGCCTCAGGTCCTGCTGTAGCTGTGCTTGAACCAAATCACTCTCAGATGGCTGCTTGGAACCATTAACCAACTCGCTTCCAGATGTGCCTGGAATTGGTTCATCTTCCTGGAAAATGACATCTAGAGAGAGATCTGGGGAAGCATCTTGGGGAGTCATCACACTATCCCACTGGCATGACCTGTTCTCCCAGAGCCTCGCAGGCCAGGTTTCTGCAGATCCAGCAGTGGAACCAAAGGACCAGCCGAGGGGCATGCACAGCATTGGCATCTTCCCAGAACATGTCCTCGGGGCCATAGCCCTTCCAGTCCACTAAATATTGTAGACATTCCCAACAAACATGGGAACCCACAATGAGTACCATCTCATATTTCAGTTGTCCCTGCACTAACACCATCATGAGCAAGGACAAGTGGAATACTGGGTGGATGCACAATTAAGTGGGCAGAGTCAGACGACTGGGTTGATGACCAATTCCACTGAGAATGGGCTAGGAAACAGTGTAAATCTGACCCTCACCAGAAGCTTGCCATTCAGAACAAGGTCGGTGGCTAGTCGTACAAGCGGTGTGGAGGGAGTTGCTCCGCTTCTTGCTTGCTGAACACATCAGCATAGTAGAAAAAGTAGAAGAGGGGTGCATTATACTATGATAGACTGTATAGCTATATGATTCATCCAATGTTGGACTAGAAAAACTTTTGCTGATCTAAAAAGAAATTTTATTATGGTATTACTTAATCTTCAGGAGGAAAAAAAAGAAATAATAGAATGAATTTTCTGAATCTCCTAAAATCCAACCAGATCAAAAGGTTTCAAATGAAGCCTTACGTATAATTTTATGTTATACTCTGATCAATGTCTTCTGAGGATGTCAAAATATTTTTTCTTGTTCTTAAGTATGTGACTGTCAATTTCATTGTCAGTATGTGACGTCCATAATTTATTTTCTGATTAATCATTCACATTATTTTCATCGTTGCATATAGTACAGGTAGTCCTCAAATTACATCCACAATGGAGTCTGAAATTTATTTTGCTAAATGAGAAATTGCTAAGTGAGTTTTGCCCCATTTTACAATCTTTCTTGCCACATTTGTTAAGTGAATCAGTGCAGTTGTTAAGTTAGTAAAATGGTTGTTAAGTGAATCTTGTTTCCCCGTTGACTTTGCTTGTCAGAAGTTTGCAAAAGTAGATCACATGACTCCAGGACACTGCAATCGTCATAAATGTGAGTCAGTTGCCAAGCATCTGAATTTTGATCACGTGACCATGGGAATCACACAATGATCATAAGTGTGAAAAATGGTCATAAGTCACTTTTTTCAGTGCCATTGTAACTTTGAACAGTCACTAAATGAACTGTTACAAATTGAGGATTACCTGTAATCTAGCAAATTAGTAGTAAAAATACTATAGATTCAATTGAAGACTATAATTTTTGATTATGTGGTAATTGTACTCTGTCTAGCTAATATTTCATTTATTTATCAGGAAAAACATAGTTTAATCCTTTTTCTTTCTTTTTTTCTTTCCATTCCTAGGATGGTACAGTGTTTGATGGCAGACCTATAGAGTCATTATCTTTGATAGATGCAGTAATGCCTGATGTAGTGCAAACTCGGCAGCAGGCTTTCAGGGAGAAATTAGCACAGCAGCAAGCTAGTGCAGCAGCAGCTGTAGCTACAACAGCAACAGCAGACACAACTACTACAACAGTCACAACAACAACTATTGCTGTCCCACAGCAAAATACACCAAAGACTGGAGAAGCCACTGTGAATGGAGAGGAGAATGGGGCGCATGCAATAAGTAAGTTAAACTATGTTTTCTAATGGATATGTTTACATTAAATGCAAATTTATGTGGCAAAGCTAGATATATGTATAGACATCTTTGAACTCTAGACATTATAAGATTTTTATGCTCAAAAGACCAAAAGCCACAGACATATTGCTCTCATTTTACTTACATATTAGTTGATGTCTTTTTATTATTTGTGTTCAGGTTACTACAAAGCGATTACCAAATAAGCATCGGAAATTCTAAATTGTATTGAGCACCATAAGTTCTCGTCAGTCTTCATCTGCTGGGAATAGAAAGCAGGCTTAAACTGTCTTGATGTCAGTCAATAATGATCTTGTCCTCTTGGGAAAAAATTAACATTTCCAATCAATAGTTATGCGTATTCCAATTTTCCTATTAGTTTTGTTACTATTGTTTTATTTTCATTGTTTCTGTTTTCACTATGCCTTGAATCAGTTTACATAGATTTATGTATGTTTTGCAGATAATCACTCAAAACCAATGGAAATCGATGGGGATGTTGAAATTCCTTCTAATAAAGCAACAGTTCTTCGGGGTCATGAATCAGAGGTGTTCATCTGTGCCTGGAATCCTGTCAGTGATCTACTAGCATCAGGGTAAATTATGGATTAAAACAAATGTGAACTTTTTAATATTTTTCATTATTGCCCAGCAGTATCAATTCTAGCAACAACAGTAAATAGAATTTGGCAGATAATGTTCATTTTTGGAAGGAAGACATGTGCACATAAGAAATGGATTTCCTACTAATATATAATAATACCGTTTCAAAACAATTTTGAGCAAACCCCAAGTTTTTCTTTCTGCGTAATATGTGTATTCATTCTTTTTAGATCTGGTGATTCCACTGCCAGAATATGGAATCTTAATGAAGGCAACAATGGTAGTTCCACGCAACTAGTTTTGAGGCACTGTATAAGAGAAGGAGGGCATGATGTTCCCAGCAATAAAGATGTAACATCACTAGACTGGAATGTAAGTTGACGAATAAACTCTTGCCTATAGAATACAGCTTGTGTATAAAATATAATTATCCGTATGTGTGTGAGAGAGAGGAGGGGAAGAGAGAGAGAGAGAGAGAGAGAGAAAGCGCAAGTTGGTCAGTGAGTAAGTGAGTGAATGAATGAATGAAAGCCAGCTTACTATAATGATTAAGGCACCAGACTAGAAACCAGAAGACCATGAGTCCTAGTGTGAAAGCTGGCAGAGTGACTTTGGCCAGTTTCTCTTAACCCACAACATCATGCTCAGGTGACAAGCCAATAGGTCAATTCATGTTTCTAGCAAAGGATCAACACTCAGTTGATCCAAAAAGAAAAAGTGGAACCTGCACTTAGGAAGTTATAGATACAGTATAGATATAAATATTTCTTCCAATTTTTCCTTGCAGGTATAATAGTAATTTAGGTGTAAGCAATTTGATGCCTTCTAGTTTGTTTGTTTTGTTTTGTTTTATTGAACACTTATAGGCCGCCCTTTTCCCTGAGGGGACTCAGGGCGGCTAACAATAATAAGGGAGGGGAGTGCAAGACAAGACATAAAAGAAAATGTGAGTAAAAAAATAATTAACAATAAAAACACAACATTCTTTCTAGACAGCCAGGG